CCTAGATTTATCTAGTACTATTTATAATAAAAGTTTTAAATTTATAGCTTTTTAATTTAAAAAGTTATGAGGAGGGGGATACTTATGACTGCGACTGTAAACACTTTCGACAACTAAAGCAAATTCCTCGTTTGTACTTAAGTTTTGTATCTAGTGCATCCGTCATTATATTAATAGACAAAATAATATATATTACAATTATTTTGTTTATATAACGATAATGATTAGAATGGGTACCCGCACTCTAATAACGATAAAAAAGTTTAATTATTAAATTTCTTCCCGATTCCCCATATGGGTATATGTCATAAAAACCACCTGTTCACACCTTTTTGAAAACAGCTGTAATTAAATTATACCTATCCGTCTCATGTGCTCGCACGATATTATATTATCTGCATGCTCGATAGCAGCACTCTTGAATCTAACCGGATTGCTTTCGGCATAACCTTTCTTAGTCGACTTCTGTCAACTTGAATATACTCAATTTCAAAAATACATGCCATATAAGTTTGTTGTAAACATTTTAATAGTGGCTTGTGATGTAGGTTTTTTATAATGGCTTTTTAGGTTGCAACTTATTATAATATTTTGTTGTATAACAAATTTGTTATAATAATGCAATTGTTGTCTAACAGTATAACAGTATAATTGTATAACGACTAAAAAAATTGCTTATAATCTCATAACATTTTTATGATGGTTTCGTAATGACTATGTAAAGGCTATGTAGTAGCTGTATAATGGTATTGAATATTCGAATTAATTCAAATTCATACTTAATACGAATTGATTCGAATATTCAGTCAAATATTCGATTCAAACCTCTAACCCTAACGAGCTTCAAACTGAACCACTAAGAAATAAAACGAATATGAGAAATAGCGGGTAGATCAAGAAAAAAGGAAATTAAAAACCTACTCCTTTTTGTTCGTTGTTTATACATTATTCGATGACCGCATTCTTTACAACGTAAGGGTTCTTTCGGTTTAATTTCATTTTCCGTTCCGCAATCTTAGTTCAAGATTGTTAAATGCAATTAACGAAAATAGCTTGGTCAAATCTGAATCCGCAAGAATCTAGCACTCAAAGCCTACCAGCACAATTATAAAGCATCTTGGGAGCGTTATCACTCGCCCTTGGTGTGGCTGTGCTTGAAGCCGATGGTGGTGGTGGACCTTGCGGACCCTGATAAGATTCTCTATTCATTTTTATTTATTATTTTTGCAATAAAAAAAGAGGAAACGGGATTATATATAAGATCTGAAGACATTGTCTGATTGGTTAATACATCTATAACATCTATATGATTATTGACTAATCAACCGTTATCTGATTTAAACAATACGTATTTTGATAACATTTATAGATACAGGTCACCCTCGTAATTTAATTGGTTTTAAATCGTGTTGATAGTGATATTAATGAGAAATCATATTAAAGTTGACATATATGAGGGAATTTTAATATATAAAAATTTATAAAAATTTGTTATTTGGCTTAGGTTGATATTAACAAGGATGACCTGTATTATATTGTTATAAGAACAATATATAAGTTAGAAATTTTGAATACTGGTTACATCTTTTCTAAATGTACACTTTAGCTTAGTTCTAAGCTTGAGACTTAATGTCAAATGAAATCATTATTATGCAATTATACATATACTAATGTATATTATATAAAATTTTAAATTATTATTAGCTTTAAAAAAATTTTATAAGTTATATATAAATAGGTTCTATATTAGTTGTTATATCTGTAATAAACTTTCTGGTTTTGTATTTTTTCTTGTACATTTGTCAAATTTTTACTTATTACAGAGCATATTATCTGAATAGCTTATTTATAAAAAATTTTTTGGCATGTAATCATAATCAATTAAATTAAAGAATTAAATATAACATGAAAATTATATCTTTTTAAAAATTTATTATTAACTCAAAATTTTATTTATAAAACTGTTTGTTGTATTTTAATAAAAAAAATTTTTTATAAAAGTTTAATATAAATTATATTTTTTCTTTTAACTTTAAAAATAATACTTATTATTTTAAATTTTTTTATTTAATTTAATTATTTTAATAAGTTATTAATATTACTTTAAGCATCTTTCTGTTAACTAATTTATCTATTCTATAAATTATTAATAAAATTATATTATTGTAAAATTTATTTAAATCTCAGTACTAATTTTACAGTATGTTTTTTAAATTTTAGTATATTTTTGTTTTATTTTTAAATTTTTAATTCAGTTAGTTTAAAGAACTAAAATCTATTTTTAATATATTAAGTTTAGTTTGATATTTTTTCTTTGTCTAAAATTTTATAGCTTAATTAGTAATATTTTTTATTTAGAGATTTTTGTTTGTTTAATTTTTCTATATTAATATCTATTTTCTAAATCTAGATTTTACAATAATATTATTAAAGATTTATATTATTTTTTTGCTTAAATCTTTTCAAATAGGTTTTTTTTTTTTTTAGTTCTTTAATAGTCTTGTCAAAACTCAAATATGACTTTATTTAATAATTATGAAAGCATAATAACATTATTATTAGAACATTATAACTTTGTGTTAATCAAATTAGTAATCAATTATAAATTTGCTAGTTATTAGTCAAAGAGTTTTGGTCAAACTGGTTTGATCAAATTAATTAAATAATATAATAAATTAGCAAATTAAACTAATCAAAAGGGGTGTGGCGACTTAGTGAAGTGGATAAGTTGTCAACCCCCCAAGTGGTAGGTTGTGAGTTCAAAACCCACCAATGGCGAAAATTTGAATAAT